TTGAAGAGCAATGAACCAGCAGCCTTTGGACCAAGAAGAGAAGCTCCTAGCCTCTGGAAATCAGCTTCAAAAGGCTGGAATGGAGTGTGGATGTGTGGAGCTATGGGTTGGTGTGTAAATGGTGCAAGGCTTTTAGGGTTTTGAGGCTTGGAAGAGAGGGAGAAGGAGAGGGAGAGATGTAAGCAAGGCTCTAAACAAGAATTTGTGACCCTTCAAAATGGAGCTGGGGTGATGGTTTTATAGAGGAGGAGAGTGGAGGAATGGGGGGGAAAATCAAATTCAAATTTCCCTCCAAAAGGCAGCCCCCCCGGACAGGGGTCTGGTGCAAAACAGCTGGCACAGCTGGCATCCACTCAATCTGTAGAATACTCCGGAAGGTCGTCGGCTAGCAAAATTGGTCGGTTGACTACTTTAACTGGTCGATCGGCCATCTATTTGGTTGGTCGGCCATCTGTTCTGGTCGGTCGGCCATCTATTTGGTCGGTCGGCAGGAAAAATTTGCTCTGTAGGTCCAACTTCAAACGGGCATAACTCCTTCATATGAACTCCTTTTCAGATCATTATTGTGTCCAAATTGAAGCCTCGGAAGTAAGCTTTCCAATGAAACCAGCCTTGCATCAAAATTCCAACTATGAAAAAAGTTATGCTTTTTTTGTGAAGGCTGCTCAGTTTCGGTCCAACCGGGATGATGCCCAACTTCAACCAATCATATCTCCCCCGTCCGGACTCGGCCTTAGGAGATTCTTGAGTGAAAAGCGAAGCCCCAGAAGTATTCTTTCCAACGGTGGTGGCCTCATAGCTTAACTTAGAGTACATAGACAGATAAACCTGATTTAGCGAGAACTGCTCGTCTCTCTCTTAGCGATTCTTGCCTATCTTCTTCTCCAACTTGGTTTCTTCTCTCTTCCCCTTATTTCTTCAAATTCAAACCCCTAAGCAAGGTGTTTTGAAAGATTTTTCAAGGATTTCATCTCTCTTTTATCCATTTCCACTTTGTCCTTACTCGATTTATCGAAAAGCGCATCATTTGACAAAATGTGAGCCTCGGAACATTGTAGAAACTTTATTTCAAAAATATTTTGAAAGAGAGGGTTCTAAGGTCTAAAAACCCTCCAAAATAACTTTGGTCCAAAATGGGGTGTGAAGTTGAGATTTGTCTCTCTCCTTGCCAAAGAAACTGAACCTTTGGCCTGCACATCTTTCTCCACCAAGTAAACCATCAGTAACGCCCAAGTCTTAAGGGCGGTAAAAAATGGGGTGTCTACAGACCTTTTTTGTTTGCTTGCATGTTTAGACCATTTAGATGCCATCTAGATGTGTTTTTGGCTTTGTTTTAACATACTAAGACTCTGATTTTGGTTGTTCAAATCATGTCATGTTTGATTTTGCTAAGTGTAGTTCAATACATCTTTGGCTTTCCTTGAGTTTTGGCTTTGCTTGCATGCTTTGCTTGCTTTAATTAGTTGGTTTGGAACCTTATTTCATGCAATTTCAGAGCCTAGCATGCTTGCTATATGCCCTTGTTTATCTCCTTTTAAGTGTGCTTAAAAGTTGCCTCTTTGTGCTTAAGTGTCGAACCATGTTTGCATGCATGATTGTATGTTTAGATACTTGGTTCATGACATGTTGTTACATGCTTGAATAGTGTTGCGTTTGGCAAGCATTTCTTGTTAAGTTGTCTAACATGTTATATGCCTTGCATGTGTGCATGTTAACATTACACTTTGCATGCTTATTAGTTGCATCCTTGCATGTTCATTTGCATGCTCATGTTGCATGTTTAGAGTGCATGCTTAGGTTGTGTTTGACATGCAGGCCTTGCCTCTTGAATTAAGTATGATAGAAGTTAGACCTCATTTGTTTGTTTGGTTTGCATTACATTTGAAATCAAAATGCACAACTTGATTCCTTGGGCCGTCACACATTGAAATGCGCAATTGGTGGTCCGAGAATCAAGTACCATGCTCCTTTGAGTCATGAATATGATAAGGAGTGCGGTTAGTGAAAACATTGCTTGAAATGCATTGCCATGCCATGTTTTGCCCTCTTCTATTGTCAAAACAGGTTTCTGCAAACAAAGATGGCCGGTCGACTACATAGAGTGCCGATCGACCAAAAGTTTGTGGCCGAGAGCTCAATCAATGGTCGATGACCATCCTGCCATGGTCGGTGACCATTTGTCTTAGCCGGTGGTGTTCCACAGTGTCCATAGAGTGCTCCCTGGGACTTTTGCAATTTTCAGAGGAGTAAAGCAGGGAAAACAGAGGCAACTTGTGCATGGCGACGAGTTTCCGAGCAAATCCGAGCACGCATGCATTGGACCCTCTTCCTGAGGCATTTTATCGCTTTCTTTACTTAATTGATTTGTTAATTAATTGGGTGGTCTGTAATATTTAATTAGCTTGTAGGTTAGTTAAATCTATATTATTCTTTTGGTCTCTCCGAGCGAGGGCGAATTTGTAATAAGTGTAGGTGCATGTGTGCATGTCTTCCAACCCCCACTTCTTTCTCCCTTTTACTTACCTGCTTTTGATGGTTAGTATTAGGGCACGTTTAATTTAGCATACCTTATGTTATGCATGCGTGCATCATTTATCAGTCTTGCATGCACCGGGCTCGGCGCAGCATGCTAACCGCATAGTATTTCAATTCCAAACTTGAATACGTGCATCGATTTCTCGTATTTCACATGTCATCCTTAGATTAGCCGAGCCCATTCTAATGACATTTTTGTATGTGATGCATTAGCCACCTTAACATGAATTAGGATCATGCATATGATTACTAACTAGTTCACTGTTTTGGCACGGAGTACGATGTAAGTATTTATGCTTTAGCATCTCGCATGAGTGTGAATGTTAACATGATAGCATGCTTACCATGTGGCTATATGCTTATGTGATATAACTGCATGAATGCCTATGTGTGAAGGTTGGATTGTTTGAATTGGGATAATTCATCGAAATCCATATTTTAGTCTACTCACGAGTAGCAAAATTCAAACCATTTTCCAAACAAACGGATATGCAATGCTCTATTCCAAATTAGGCGATCTAGTCTATACTTGTTTTGCTGCGCACATCACATAGTAATTCTAGGCTAATTAACCAGAATAAGAACGCATAATGTTTTCAAAACAAGATATCATGGTTAGTAGAGGCCGATCTTCGGATCGGGCGAGTAGCGGTGCTCATAGCTGACCTTCCCCAATCGTACCCAAGTTCTTGAGCCGAGGCAACTTTGGTGATGACGGACACGTGGCCTTAGGCAAACGAGTCAGGTTTCCTAAATTCCCCCATAAAAAATATTTAGGTGGCGACTCTGTATCTGGCAAAGCAGTCCATGTTTGACACTTCTTTACAAAAATCTATTTTCCAAAACGATTTGCCGAATTTGGACTCTTTGGTGATTTATCAATCTCACATTGAACATTGTGAGATCAGATTAAGAACCAACACAAATCGAGTCTGAACTGTAGCATGAGGCCCAAGGGCGCGTCTACACATACGAGCAGGTGGACATTGAGCCGCTGGAGTCTGACCCTGAAGATTGACTAGGGAGTTGTGGAGGAGTGGTTTGGAAATACTCTTGGATCCTGAAGGACGTTCCTGATCCTCTAATTGCCACCTGAAAAAGGGATTAACAGTCCAGTCGGGGGTGCCGGAATTAGCACTCCGACGGACAAGTCAGTATATGTCTCTCGTTTGCTTATGTCTTAAGTTTCTTGGGTTTTTTCTCACGTACCTTTCTTTGGTTGATGTTCCTCTATTTATATTTGCTTTTGGGCCCTAGGGTCGAGCCCACTCTTAATCCATCGTGTGATGGCTCATTCGGCCCCTTCTGTCGTGTGCCAATTCCCACTCAGCTTTCTGTTCAGCTAGCTCTATGGCCGATTAGTTCATTCGGCTTCGGGATCGTACATGACGAAGCCGAACATAATATATATCCTGATTACTATCAAACCCATTATTTGGCTTCCCTACAAGTACTAATATTCAGCTCCCACAATTGCCCCCCAAACATCCTACTAACTCCAGTTAGTTAGCATGTTTGGTTTTGAACTTGAAAAGTCAAAAAATTCGGCGGTTAACCTCATTCCAACATAAGTGTCAGAATGCGTACGCTTTTTAGGCATCATTACAATTTCTCGGCCCTTCGTACGCTTCCTTCATTTAATGCGATTTGAAACTATGTTGTCCTTTCGAATGTATGTTTTTTGAATACGCAAAGTTTCTGGTTTGCCTTTCAGTATACCTCCATTTCGCGACCTCTGCAACTTCCTCCCCGTTTCTCATTGTCTTCTCCGCTTCTTGTAAGTTCTCTTCTCTTCCATTTCGATTCCCCTTTCTTTGTTTGTTTTTAGTTTTGCATACTCCCTAAACTGGCTAGGATGGCCAAACATTTGAAAGCCCTTCTTTCTACGGATCGAGTTTCTGGCTTTCGACGTCATTTTTCCATTCCTGACGACATCCACCTGTCACTCACGGTGGAGAGCAGCATTGATATGGAGAGGACTGATGAGAGCACAATCATCTTTCCTCTCCTATCAATTACTGAGGGAGGAGTCTGTTTCCCCTTTCACCCATTTTTAAGGGCCGTCCTTCGCCACTGGGGTCTAATCCCTTCCCAACCTTATGTAATTTTTTACCGAATCATAATGGGAATTATAGAGTTGAACCAACGCCTTAGGATCAATCTTGGTATCCCTGCTATTCGGCATTGCTATGCCTTGGCCAAGTCTTCTGGCCGGCAGGGGTGCTACTTTCTCAGGGCTAAGGACACCGACCATCATTTGGTGACTATGCTTGCCAGCTCTGGTAAGCGAGTTGACGATGTCATGGTTGTTATCTGACGCAACTGGGAATTCGGTGAGGGCGAAGATCACCTAGAACCTGTGCCTAAACGAAAAGGCGAACCAGGTGGCCGTATAGTCTCTTACATGTATTTGCCATATATTTACACGACTTTTCTTCCATGCACTTAACGTTTTATTTATGCAGGCAACGATTTGAAGAAAGTTATGGTTTCGGCCAACGACGCCGTGCTTGCGGAAATCAAAATCGCACTCCAGTTCTTTGGCTGTCCAAACCTCCAAAAGCAAGGGAGGTCAGCTCATATACTTCTCAGATACGAGCCGACTTACGCAATCTTTTCGGCCGCAAACAACATTCCAATTTCGAGGGGCAAACAGCAGCTCATGACTTTTATCTTCCCCAACTTCAAAAACCTTAGGCAGATTGGTTTGAAGGCTTCTGATTTGCAGCAGGTGGAAGACCAAGTAGCCGAAGAAGTCGTCAAGCAGCCAAATCAGCCTATTTTGGAAGCTGAAGAAGTTGACGAGGCTCTGAATTTGGCTTTCGAAGAAGCCGACCTTAATCGATCCAACCCTCCATCTACTTCAGGCCGAGGGGACGTCTCTTTTGAAGACATTTTTACCGACTTAGGGGACCTTCCCGGCACGTACCCTGAGAACATGGCTGGGGAATTGCTCACGCAGCTGGCCAGGAGGAAAAATGCCGAACGGATGGCCACCCAGAGGAGGGTCGAGACCAACCGATCTGAACCTCCCCTTGCTGTCGTGGCTGAGTCTTCTCAGCCGAATATCAAAACGGAGCAGGTTGAAACGGTTCAGGTTGAAACGACTGAGTCAGAGCAAATTGTCGAACAGTTTGATCAAGAGGCCGAGCAGAGGGGGGAAAAGCATCCCGCTGAGCGCGAAGCCGACCCTGAGGAAATACTTACCGATAAACAGCCATGCTTGGAGGAGTCAAACTCGGTTGTGCCGTTCATCTTCCTACCAAGGATAAAGAACGTGCCGATTGCGTCTGATGCGTCGACTCTAAAAGATCCGGCTGTGGCCTTGAGTGGAGCCAGATTTATTGTCAATAACATTAGCCGCTCAATCGACCATATTGGTATGTGACTTAAACTTGTCTGCAGTTTTCGCCTATATATTTTTTATTTTTATTATTAGTTTTTTTTTAAACTCTAATTCCTTGTTTTGTAAACGACGGGCAGGATAGCTGAGATTGGCTGCCGTCAACATGATGCTATTGAACAGATTGGTTTTTTGAAAACTGAAATTGAAAATGAGAAGAGCAAGGCCGTGGAGGCCTCTCAAAGAGCCGAGTCTGAGGCGGCGAGAGCGGCGGAGGAGCGTGCAAGAGCCGACGCCAAGGCAGAAAAGGCGAAGAGTTCTGACCAACTCAGATTGGCCGTTGAGGAGAGGGCAAACGCGAGTGAAGATGCGCTCAAGTTAACCAAGGAGGTGATTGCCAAGCTAGAAGCCAATTTGGAAGAGTCGAAAAAGGCAAAGGAAATAGCCGACTCCGAGATTTCCAAAACGTTCCAAGCTAGGAAGGACGCCGCCTTGGAGAACTATGTGGAGGAAGTACCCAAGTTCGAGAATCGGGGCTTCAAACATGGCTGGCTCAAAGCCCTCACTGCCGCTAATGTGACATTGGCGCAGCCGATTCCATACGAGCAAGTGGACGTTGAGCCACTAGAGTCTGACCCTGAAGATTGACTAGGGTGACATTTTGATTTTTGTCAGGCATCTTCCATGCATAGTTTTTGTAGGTTTTTGTTAGTAGATTTTTGTTTGTTTACTTCAGTTAGAAGTTAAATGTAGGGTTGAAGTTAAATGTAGGGTAATTTTCATGTGTAAAATGACTACTATCTGTACTCAATTTATTAATGAAAATTTTCTTTGCTTTTCTGTCTGTTGCATGTGCTAGTTAACAATCTAGTAAGATGTAAGATCATGAGATGAGTAAATTAAACATCTAATTAAATATCTGCAGGTTAGATAGCTGCGTATCTTTGCAATTTAGCCGAATAAACTAACCATTCTGCCCTTGTCTCGGTTAATGAACTGGAACGCCGAATATCGATGGTTCATGGATTGGCTAAGGCATATGAATTAATCGGCAAATAAATTAATGAATATGCCCTTGACCCAGTTAGTGAATGAACTGGTTAGAATGCCGAATATTGGTGGTTCATGGATTAGCTGGGGCACATGAACTTATCGGCACAAGGCCTTGAAATTTAGCCTATTAGATTAACGAATCTGCCCTTGCCCCAGCTAATGAATGAACTATAACGCCGAATATCGGTGGTTCATGGATTGGTTGAGGCATATGAACTAATCGGCGAATAAATTAATGAATATGCCAGTGAACTGGATCACTGAAATTTGGCCGATTAGATCAATGAATCTGCCCTTGCCCCAGCTAATCAATGCATTGTAACGCCGAATATTGGTGGTTCATGGATTTGCTAAGGCACATGAACTAATCGGCGAGTAAATTAATGAATATGCCCTAGACCCAGTTAGTGAATGAATTGGAATACCGAATATCGGTGTTTCATGGATTGGCTGGGGCATATGAACTCATCTGAACTCATCAGCGCAAGGCCTTGAAATTTGGCCGATTAGATCAACGAATCTGCCCTTGTCCCAGCTAATCAATGAACTGTAATGCCGAATATCGGTGGTTCATGGATTGGCTGAGGCACATGAACTAATCGGTGAATAAATTAACGAATATGCCCTAGACCCAGTTAGTGAAGGAACTGGAACACCGAATATCGGTGTTTCATGGATTGGCTGGGGCATATGAACTCATCGGCGCAAGGCCTTGAAATTTGGCCGATTAGATCAACAAATCTGCCCTTGCCCCAGCTAATCAATGAACTGTAACGCCGAATATCAGTGGTTCATGGATTAGCTGGGGCACATGAACTTATTAGCGCAAGGCCTTGAAAGCAAGCATTGATGAGAGTGCCCCGGGAGTGCTGCACCCGTAATGAACAAAGGGGATGGGGACTGCGTGCGTGGAGGTGCCATTGTTGCGTTTAAATCCAACAAATTGGGAGAGGAAAAAGGCAGTGTGGATGACTGTGGATGGCAAGAAGACTATTCTTCAACAACAGAGGGGAAGGTAGAACACTGGCGGAACTGGACGTAGAGATTAATCGAGGTGGCGAGCCTACGCGCACGGGGAGTAGGACGGCGAGGAAGCGTGAGAAACGCCATTCCCCACGTCATCGAAGTAGGTCACCCAGAAAGGAAAAATAGCAATGAGGCAACTCCCCTCGCTCGAGAGGAGAAACTAGTGCGACACTACGCCCGTTGAGTTTTTCGATTTTCGTTGGGAACAAACCGATGACGGAAGCGGATTCCATTATCCGCGACCCAAAAGTAGCAGTCGAGTTTGGTCGACAGATTTTTTCGCCAGAAGTTCAGTAGTCCATGGTCGGTCGGGCTGAAACGCCATGAAACGCCATGAAGTTCAGTAGTCCATGAAACGCCATTCATGGAGTAGTAAAGGGTTTGTATACCGCCTATGAAATCGGCATGCGGCTTCGTGCCGCGAGAAAGGAGATAGAGCAAAGGGATGCTCGCATTCAGAGCTTGCAAGCCCGTGCGAAGAAGGCCGAAAATGAACTGAAGAAAGCTAACACATTTGAGACTCATTCGGCGAGTTAAGTGAATCCGATTGTCGCGAAATGAGTAAACCGCCGAATTTTGGATCACGCGACTGCCGATCGAGAAACAGGGAGCATGTTCGCGATAGAATCTGCGAAGGCCATGTCCTATGAAAAAGGCTTCCATGACGGCCGAAAAATTGGAATAGACAAGACGAAGGAAAAACTAGTCGAGGAAGTATGTCAATGCAAAAATCGTAGATTTAAGCATGGATGGATCAAGGCACTCCAGGCCGCAAATGTTGATCCGACGTCGCCCTTGTATCAGAGTTATACTTTTCCGTTCGAAGCTTTCAATGCAGAGAAGACTGATGACGAGGAGGGAGCCGAATAATTTTGATGTACATTGTTCCATTTTCATGTAAAGCATGTACTCATGATCTATTAAATACATAAAAAATATTATTCGAAATGTCCATATGTTTATTTCGATCAATGCCTGTAGATTAAGTTGTGTCTACTATTTTATGTCAATCGCGCTTGCGCTTGTCAATCACAAGTCTCGACAGGAGCTCTGAATTCGGAGGCTTATTCAGCCCGAACATGTCATTCACGAAGGGCGCTCAAAATTCAAAGGCTTTTTGTATTGGCCAATCGTGATTTCCACGAAGGACACTCCAAATTCGGAGGCTTATTCGGCTCAAACGTGTCATTCACGAAGGGCGCTTCGAATTTGGAGGCTTTTTGTATTGGCTAATTGTGATTTCCACAAAGGGTTCTCCGAATTCAGAGGCTTATTCGGTCCAAACGTGTCATTCATGAAGGGCGCTCCGAATTCAGAGGCTTTTTGTATTGGTCGATTGTGATTTCCACGAAGGGCGCTCCGAATTCGAAGGCTTATTCGGCCCAAACGTGTCATTCACGAAGGCCGCTCAGAATTCAAAGGCTTTTTGTGTCGGCTAATCGTGATTTCCACGAAGGGCACTCTGAATTCGGAAGCTTATTCGGCCCAAATGTGTCATTCACAAAGGGTGCTTCGAATTCGGAGGCTTTTTCTGTTGGCCAATCGTGATTTCGACGAAGGGCGCTCCGAATTCGGAGGCTTTTTGTATTGGCCGATCGTGATTTCCACGAAGGGCACTCCGATTTCGGAGGCTTATTCGGCCCAAGCGTGTCATTCACGAAGGGCGCTCCGAATTTGGAGGTTTTTTGTGTTGGCCAATCGTGATTTCCACGAAGGGTGCTCCGAATTTGGAGGCTTATTTAGCCCAAATGTGTCATTCACGAAGGGCACTCTGAATTCGGAGGCTTTTTGTATTGGCCAATCGTGATTTCCACGAAGGGTGCTCCGAATTCAGAGGCTTATTCTGCCAAAATGTGTCATTCACAATGGGTGCTCCGAATTCAGAGGCTTATTCGGCCAAAACGTGTCATTCACAATGGGTGCTCCGAATTCAGAGGTTTTTAGTATTAGACAATCGTGATTTCTACGAAGGGCGCTGCGAATTCGGAGGCTTTCTCACACAACCAGAACTCACTGGGCAACACAACCAGAACTCACTAGACAAGAGAGAACATTGTATTGAAAAAAGAAAGATATACACAGCGTAAAATCAAAACAAGCTGTCATGCTGTACAAGTTAATGATAAAATTTGCGCAAGTGTGTGGAATTCCATGAACGCGGCAAGCTTTTTCTATCAATGTCTTTGAGCCAATATGCTCCTGCCCTACGATTGAATTAATCTGATAAGGGCCGTCCCAGTTAGGACCCAATTTTTCGTCAGTCGGATTCCTAGCAGCGAGAAGCACTTTCTTGAGGACCAATTCTCCTGGTGTATAACGGCGTAGCTGAACATGTTGATTATACGACTTAGCAAGCTATTGCTGGTACCGTGTCATGGATGCAAAGGCACAGTCTCGGCGTTCTTCAATCAGAGTCAAGTCCAAGGCCAACATCATATCATTTCAGCCCATGTCAAAAACCTTCAATTTCAAGGTTGGAAGGCCGATCTCTAGGGGGATGATTGCCTGGGTTCCGAAGCATAGAGCAAACGATGTTTCCCCAGTGGATCGCCTCGGAGTAGTGCGATGAGCCCAGAGCACACTGGGCAACTCTTCGACCCATCTGCCTTTAGCTTTCTCCAGCCTTTTCTTGATGCCATCCAAAATAACCTTGTTGGTGACCTCAACTTGACCATTGCTTTGGGGGTAAGCCGGCGAGGAAAAGTAAGGCCGAATACCATAAGTGTTGCACAATTCTCGATATACGCCACAATCAAACTGGGTACCGTTGTCAGAAACAAGTGCTCGTGGTATGCCAAACCTTGTTATGATGTTTTTCCATACAAAACGCTTAACGTCAGAATCTCGAATATGTTTTAGTGCCTCCGCTTCGACCAATTTTCTGAAATAATCCGTCACAACAATTAGGAATCACCTGTTGCCTGGGGCCCATGGTAACGGTCCAACGATATCAAGCCCCCATTGAG